CAAACCAACACCTGATAATGCAAATTTAAAACCTGCGTTCAATCGCCATTCATCCTGTCCTCTGCAACATGGAGCAATTATCCTAACAAAATGCCTGCCTTTCAAAGCTGCATTGCATTTCAGAAACCCCAATCGATAAACTAATCCACCTGGCCAGTGCCACGACGGCAAAGCCTCTGCTGCATGACGTCACATATTTGAGCAAAGTGTGTCCGTACAAGCCTCTTCTTAATTACAAATGAGGATTCGATCACAAACAGACGCTCTCCAGACAATTCCTCAATCAGTTGCAATGCTTCTTCAGAAACGCCCAAATAAGCGCGAGCCAAGACGCAATTTTACGTGGTCCTTTCGTCTTTCTCGAGTGAGGGGACATTCCGATGATTTAAGAAGCTCTTTCAATCTTAAAGGTGCTCCACTTGAAAGACAGTCATCTTCAGACTCAGCGCCGTGGAAACACGAAATCTCACCGCCCTTGAATTACCATCTCCAGAAAGCTACAAAACGTGTGGTTGTCTCTTCTAACCACCTCCATCCTTTGCGTTAGAACTTCATTCGCTTGTCTGCCAAAGAGCATGTATTTAGCAGTTCATCAACATTCCTGAGCTTTGGTGGGCCACACCCCGTATTTTTCTCAACCGACTCCTTCCTTCGCCATGCCTCCGACTACCTGGGGAGTAGCAAGAAGGTTTGCTCTCCCCTTGGAACTATCGCCCCTCAACCAATTTCAACCTCACTTCGGCAAAACACAAAAAACCACAGACGACTGACAGAATGGATTTCCTAGCAAACACGAGGAAAGAAAATAAGACGTATTTCACCTGTTTGCCGCGCAGATCAAGTGGCGGCTATAACCAAAAACGATTAGACCGGACAGCGGAGAGGGAGATTATCCAGAGCTGAAGCCTTGGGTCCGTATGCCCCTCCCCCCAACCCGCAGCAACACAAAGTCTGCCGGCACTGCCAATGTCAACCTTGTTCCCCTGTTTCCATAGAAACAAGGAATTTCGTGACCATCAACTGCTGGAAGAAGAAACTATAGGCCGACTATGAGTTATCTTAGATCTAATTTCTCAAGGCAGTTCTTTCTGGCTTACGTCACCGCGTAGTCTCGTAGAGGTTGCCACAATTGTAAACAAAGAAACAGGAGAGAGGAAATGGGCATGACCTATTTTAAGGAGGCATCCGTTTGACGCCCGAAAGAAATTTAAGAAGACCCTCAGTGTGAACAGCTGATCCGGTCATCAGACCTTACATGCCCGAGAACGTGTAGGCCTGTGCTATGCCCAGAGAGGATAAGAACCAAGGACTCTGTCTGCTGGCCCTCACACGAGTCCTTCCGTTTGTTTTGATGCACTGAATGCTGGGTAGTTTCACGCAGCGCCTATAGCCCGCTAGATCCACATCAATCCACACATTAAGTCTCAATAAACTCAAACGCAATTCGTTATTCATTTCATCTGTCGTCCTTGGAACAATACAAAGTAATTCAGGTGTAATGGCACTGATCTCATGTTCTGAAAATACATTTCGTACAAAGAATGCGAGAATTAATTGTGGGGATAATTCACTCCAAGAGTTTTTATTCGTCAAAATTTCACATGAACAAACAGGCATCTCTGAAGTGTTGTAATGATATCCGGTCCTGTCTTCGTCTCTTGGCTTGCGGCTGCATCCGCTAAATCGCGATCAATGCGAAGCGACGCCTGCATTTTTCCCCATTCTTTATTTCTCACCTTCTCCTCACACAAGCAAGAGAAGAAAGTTGCGCTAAAAGCCCTATACTCCTCATACACCCACCTCACTGCCAGAGGTCCTTGCTGCCTCCATCATCAGGACCTCTGAAACGTCGGTAAACGTCTACCAGACTCACCGCCGTGAAAACCGCAGATCCTTCATTGCTCTAATCTCGGTCTGGAGACCGAGAAACCTGACTCGATCCACCTTCCCTCATTCCTTGCAAAACGTTTCAGTGCACCACCAATCACATGCGCACTTCTAGTTGTACATAACAGTAGCCAGGCCTTTCTAAGAACAACAAACCATTTTTACATCTGTCGGCCTGTACTCGTGTGCATGTGTGAACTCACTGTCGTGGGAACTGGAGATAAAGAAACTCATTCAACAGCGCATTAAACGCGGGGGAGGGGGTTTCGAGCACTAGAAAATTTCCCACGGGCGCGTTCTCACGCTCCAAAAGGAAGAAATTCTGGTACACTCCCAGGAAAAGGAACTGTTGTCCGTTGCTTCGTGGGCATTGCCAAGGATTGATGTCAACATCGAAGTCCGGACATCGTTAAATCTGTCAATGAATTTACTTTACTTTACTTTTAAGAACGTTTTATACGACGTAAGGTTTGGGCACTCACATGCGTAAGGGATAAAAGTTCAGTGTCTTTGAATTTGTTATGTTGTGCAGTCCCGCACAACAACAAGAAGACGATCTTATTTGAAAAGACGAGTCTGTATTTCGTACTTCAGCAAATGGCCATTCCTTTATTTATTATTTGTCTTCATTGCCGAACGTGACTGTACTCCGTGACAACGTTCTTGCAACGCCTGTACACAAACAGACCAGCAACTGGTTCTTAGCCGGTCGATACACAACGGCACTTCGTAACGGCTTGTGGGGGGCTGCAGAGCATAAAAAGTTCGAAGACGATAAACATTCTTGTTTTGCTTACGAAAGTAACTGATCAAGGCTTGGACGCATTTGTTAGCAACTGGTTTGTTGTTAACACGCGTGTGGCCTAGGTCTAATTCAAAACAAATCTTTCCATCGCTTATGGAACGAAGGTCGAACGGTACATTCAGATGTTCAACGCGCAGTGCAATGTGCGGTTCGATAATTTGCCTTTTCAACTCAAGCGAATTAACATTTCGTAAACTGGCCGTACAATTTAATCAACATTAACGACAAATTAATGTCTAGTTTTGCAACTTATGTAGCTCGGTAACTAAACAGGGCAGAAGATCGGCCCCAATAAAAGAGAGGTAAGGGCACCCTAACGACGTCTTCTTGTACTCTTCAAATGCTGATATGTTAAATTTAAAGATTGACTGAACGGTACCACGCAGAAGGGAAACCCATAAAATATCCATCGACCATAATTTCTTTAAAAAAGCACAATGCAATCGAAATCTGAGCTGCAACAAGTTCAATTTTGAAAAGAGCGATCACTCCGAATGTCCGCATTGTCCTAATGCCTCGTGTACTTTAAACGTTACTCAAGGCATCCTTCAGCAAATATAACGTCTCACACAGAGCAGATGGAATCTGTTTCGTCAGTCACAGTTGAACTACGGGTTCACTGCCCCCAACACGAGCTGACGAAGCAGCTGCTGCAAGGTGAGACTTGAGGCCGTCATCCTGTAGCAAAAGGAAGCTGGACATCTGCCAGATAAAGGAAATGCCTTACAGAACGAAGAGGAGTGAATAGTAAAAGAGAGGAGAGGAGAGGGTGGGTGGCTGATAGATGAAATGTCCATCCGCAAACGAACAAAAGCACAATCGTGCAAGACCCAGAACCGAACGTCCCCAGCCCCTCTCCGTCGCGGTGCTGACATCAAAGCATCGCCGTCCAAGTAATATCAGTCTTGCGTGCCCCTGAACTTCGGCAGACGCGCCCCACACGTGAGTACGCGAGTGCGAAAACTTTTAGCAAGAACCAGGCCTCCTCCTCCTAGCAGACGCTCCGTTTCCAAATCTGCGGGCGCCGATAAAAATTTCTCTGTCCGTCCGCACGCATGAGACAACGGATAAACCTATTTCGATGAAATTTGTGGAAAACTTTACCAGAAACCGAAGAGATGCAGATTCCGGTTAATTGGGGCGGCCGTTTATTTGAGACTACTCTTAAAGAACAGACCTTTTTAACTCTTTACATGGAACTTCGCTTAATAGGGCCAAAGTCTTCTTGTCCCGATGTAACCCAATTAACCAGAATCCACTGTATTTACATTTTCAGTTGGATCGGGCAATATTCAACGATCACTTTAAATGAGGATAAATACTTGGACCTTTTACTTACACGGGTAAAGAAATTCGTTGCAGTTTGTTCATCCACTTTATAACAACAGGACATTTTACATGGAAACCTACGTCAGTCGCTTCAGCAGATGCCAGGAGAAAATCATGTTCCTCTCAAAATGCCAGTTCACCGATGTTAAAATAGGCCTCGGGCATATTAAACAGAATAAACAACTAAGCCTCAAATCTGATTGTTTACTCGTTCGGTTGAGTACAATTTCACTTCTCGCTTCTTGCAACAAGTAATATCGAGCAGGGAACATTGGCACACGAAATAATTATTTTAATCCTTTATTCAAACAATGCTTAAGAATTCAATCCGTACCGCAAAGAAAACAAAACTCTTCACAGCCACAAGGATCAAACGGTGAATGCAATTTAATGAAATAATCCATGTTTACAGTTAACACGTAAAATAAAACGAATATTTGCCGGCTGTTGAAGCTGTTGGAACAAACAGGTGTCATTATATAAGGAAACAGTTCTTCGTGGTCATTAATATTTAACGCATTTCGATAAAGAGTTTTACTTCCATGGCTCTTTTTAATTTTTATTTGCTTATGGTTAGTTCATAAAAAATAAAACATCACTGGCTATTAATGTAATAGAAAAGCATCGAGGCTCTTAGCATGACATTTATAATGCTTTCTGCTGAAGTTGCCTCTAAGAGAATTCTTTTACAATTGCTTTCCAAAATAAATACAAACATATAAAATCTGCAAAGACAGAAATAAAAATACAAAATTAATTAAGGGGACACCCACATAATCTCAGAAAGGGGCCTGTAAGCTGTCTTGGATCAAAGTGCAGTCGCCATTTTGCCGTCACACACAGACGCGTGCTTTATTGAACGGAATCTTGGGTTCAGAGATCAGAGATGGCGCCTTCGATCCTCAACATCAGCTGTTTCTGGAGAATTCTCTCGCCTGGCTCGCACTGAGCCACTAAAACCGAATAAATATAAGCGAAACGTTTCACTACACAACACAACGAAATTATTACTAAATAATTAATTGGTGAATTATGATTACAATAACTTTGTACTTCTGCATGCCCTGACTTCTCTACTCGAACCATTTTACACCCCTGAGAGACGCACAACTGCAACATGGCAGCAATTCCTTCTATTGCAATGAACATTTCCGACAGATCCTCTCACGTGTGCCACTGAGCCGAAGTCTTGGTTGGTGGCTTATATTCAATCGCTAAACAATTCGTTGTAACGTCCGTGCGTGTTCAACTGCCTCTCCTCCCGGGGGCTACGGGGGTACCTCGAGGTGTAGGATATTGGGTCCTAGCTCGTCGGCCTCTTCACACCAGCCAATAATAATTTGGATTGAAGTTTGAAGTCACTACGACAGTAAAACCTCTCGAACTCGGACACTGGCGGTTCCACGATAATGCGTCCAAATACGGAGGTGTCCAGGATCGAGGGAAAGGGGAAAATATCCTTTCAAATTGTGGTGTAATGACAATGTGGTAATTGTAGAGTATTATGGAGCCCTTCCCAAAAAAGGAAATTATTGCTGAGAAAAATCAAAAGGGTATATTAAATTTTTACAAATTTTGTTTTCACTAAATTAAACTTGCGTGGATAAGCTCAAAGGGAATGGCACCGATACTTTACGTCTACCGAAAATGCAATCAATCGATTTACTTACATAATCTAACTACTGTAGGCTTGCTCGAATTAAGAATAATTTAATTATTAATTATAATAATCTTTTGAAACCCACTCTCATGGTTGCACATTACACCCCAGCCTCAATGAAATTTTAAATGTTCAGAATGTATTTTTTAATTCTACTTACGGCATTAGCTCAACATATGATGTCACTTAATTCTTGTAAAAAAGTCTGTCACAAGACACTGCTTTTTTGCTTTTATCTTTGAATTTGCCATCCTCTTACTAATTTTCACGGCAATCCGAATAAAGTTTCAACCACTCCTGGTTGGTTATGACCGAAAGCATACCATTCCAATTTCTGTTAACACTGTTTAACTCAGTTGCATGCACTGTACTGACAAAGTTAAAACTCCAGTGAGGGGTTAACAAATTCACTTTCACTGCATTCCAATGTCTCACAACCTCAACCACAAGCCAGTCCTCAGGTAGAAGGCATTCATCAGTCAGAAACTCAAAACAACAAAATACCAACTGTAAACCTTTCCCGTAAAAGCTCTGAAGCTAAGTGCGTGCGTGCACCTGTCCAACTTACAACGAAAGGGGTCCAAGATATAGGGTATTGTGGATATGTAAAATTATAGGATATTCGCCGGTTCCAATTAAAAGTGTCCAATATAGAGGGGTGTCCAACTTGAGGTGCCATAAAATCCCTCTCTCTCTAAATTCTGAAGAATGTCCCGAGACCACGCATAGGTTACTCTGGGGATGTCGAATGGGTGAAAATTTGGTTTCTATGCCCATGTCTGTCCATTTGGCATTGTTAAATTGTGTCCCATGGTCACTCAACACTGCTTTGGGTCGGCGCACATGAGTAAAATAATGTTCTGTTAACTTACTGAGGCAAGCCCTGGTGGTGGCAGCCCGCAGTGGATACAGAAGACACGCCAAGACCTCCCCTAGCCCCGGGCAAATTCCCATTCAAGTCCACTGCTACGAGGTCTCCAGGTTCTCTAGGTAAATGCGACCTAATCTGTGTGTGTCGTAATTTCACCCGCTGAGAGATCGCGTAGCTGGCAACAAATCTTCTCGCCTTTCTCCCAAGATTTTTCACACGGAATGAGTGGCTGATTTGTGCCCCGCACTTGTCTGTCTGTCCCGGAGTGACCAAGCGAACGATGCACTTTCTTTCCCAAGTGGCTAGGTAAGTAGGGTCGCCAATACGTACAGGATTCCATTTTCAGTTTTGAGCCTTTGTCTGAGGTCCTGGGTTTGGTGGGCACTCTGGTTTTCCAGTTCTCTCTTCACAGAAGGGTCCAGTTCTAAATTGATCCTAGTGATCAGAACTTCCCTCGGTCTGCTCAACGGGTTATGCGATTCGAAACCAGGTTACACCTTTTCATAAAGGTCAATGCCTTGTCGGAACAGACTATAACACGCTGGCCAAAAATGTACAGTCTCAACTTCAGGAGAGCAAGAAGTTCGACTTCGCAAACAGAAAATTTCAGAATGGCCGCGATCCTTTCAGGGTCGGGACCGACACTTGTCTGGTTTATTCTGTGCCCAAGAAAAGTCACCTCGGCCTGACAAAAGCGGCACTTGGACGCCTTTATGGTTAAGCCTGCATCCGTGAGTCCTTTTAATACCAAGTCCAGATGTGATGTATGTTCTTCGTAACTCCGCGAGTGCACCAAAACGTCATCGACATATCCAGCGGTATCACCACCCAGCACCAGCTGTAGAGCTCTGATGAAAGCAGACATGGAATTTTTGAATTCGTACTGAAAACTGTGGATTCGAACAGAAAGGCGGTGCATGGCCTCGATTCCTCTTTCAAGGGTATCTGCAGAAAAACGGAACTCAAAAATGGTGAATTGGAAATCTCAATTATATCATCTTTCAACAGTTGGTCCATGAGCTCTCTAACCAGTGGCCTTAATTCGAATGGCACAGGCCTAACTTGACCTTCGAACAACTCGTCATTGTCTAGCTTCAATTCATATTCAAAGTTCCTACAACTGCCTGGCCTGGAAGTTAGAAAAGGGGCATATCTCACTAATAGTTTCATTGAATTAACCTTCTCGTCCTCATTTAAAAAACTGTTACTGTTAACAAAATGCTGATTTCCAGTCCGTATGTACATTTTTTTACTCGTGTTCCGAGATCAGTTACCACAAAGTGCAGTCCTGTGTTACGATGTTCAGGTTGCGAGCACAAAAGCCTCTTTTTGTGACAATTTTAAAAGCGTTGCTTGCACTCACTACAGCAACCGCTGCTCGTTGTCGTCCCCATTTTAAAGGAATGCAGTTCGAAGAGCTCACACAACAGTTGAACGGAGTATTCAAACTGTGACGTGAGCCACGGCCTTCGGTCGCGGATGGCAAAGGCCCCTCCCTGATGTGAGGGCAGCTGCTAACACTTTAAATAGGCGGAAGGCCCACCGGGCCTCGGACGGACCTAAGCAGAGGAAAATGGATTTTAGGGGGTTGGGGGCGGAAGGTGTGGATTGGATTCATCGAAGTAAGGAAAAGACCGGTCGATCACGGCAATGAACCTTCGGGTTTTATATGAGAACGGAAATTTATTAACTAGCTGAGCGTACTAGTAACTCCTCAAAAAGGGATATCCTCGTGTTCTGGCTGCACCAAATAAATGTCACCCGTTTCAGTAACATGCATTTTATCATATCCCATATCCTTGCTTCTTGCGATGGAATGAGGCAATCAATGTCTGTGAAATTGTGTTTTTAACGGGCCCTTTGTTCATCCCGCACGTGAATTACACAGACCGAAAGGCTCGAAGAAAAAACCTGCCCCAGTGCCCACCACAAGTACCTCATGGACTGAAGATGACAGACATTTCAGATGTGAAGATTTCTGTCTTCACAGCGCAATAACCCAGAAGACAGAAATCTTCATATTCACCGCTGTGAGAACCTCAAGTCTTACATTTCAGACGTGCTTAATCCTTCCATCATCAGGGCGAGGAGGCAAACTCGAAATGATAATTTTCAACCACGTCACCCAGTAATTTACTGGGTTTTTTAAATTGAATATCTTCGATAATTCTTCAGGTTTCCGGGCAGCCGTTTTCGAGAAGACCCGTTTTCCTTCATATCCCCGCTTTCTTTACTCTGATGAGGATCCGAAAAAAGCAGGGACGAAAATCCGTTTTATGATTCACCTACAGCTAATTCAAACACGTAGATCTATGGACCTCTTTTACACATTTAACCGAGCATGAACTATGAAACGATTCGTAACCAGAACAAAGAAGTCGTACGACGAGAGAACGAAATTAATGCTGTTCAGCAGCGCTTCCAAAAAATGGGAAAAAGTGGTTTTGACGTAAATACGTCTATATGGAAGGGTCGTTCGGCAAAAAAGGTAAACGAAAAAGTGTAACTTCATTGTTATGTTACCTAGGAAACGTCATCTGTTTACTCGGCAATTTTGTTACCTATAAAACATTACATTACATTCAGCTACCACAGACCCATCTTAAGCGTAACTAATTCAAGTTAAATAACCAATGTCTTAATCAAACTTATCTCAATTGTAAAGCGGGTATAAAGGAAATATTTAGAATAAAGCCAATATATAAACTTCCTTTCCGTATAGACGTATTTACGTCAAATTCTCAGGAACCGTGGTTCCACTGACAACTTTTTTTTCTTAGGGTAACGACACCCATTTCTGTGTGACTTGACTGAAATGATGGAGCTTAGGTCAACCAGTCAGTGCAAAATGTTATTTGTAGAATTCACGATGAATATCCTGTGGTAGCTGCGGAGGCCGTGATGCAGTTTCCGAGCACCCGCACGTGTGAAGTGGGATTTTCCACTCTTGCCTTCATAAAGGGCACAAAACGAAACTGTTTGATGAACCCCAAATACGACGTCTCCAATTCCTCTTAATTTTGCGGAACTAGTAAATAAGATGGAGCAGTGGAATTATGATAATTAATTAAATATTCATGGTGAATAATTATCAATTTTTTGTGGCTGCTAAAGTCTTTAAAATTAAGACACTGCATCAAACATATGCTTTCTGTGCAATTAGTGTTTCACCTGCATTGGGTAAAAAGGACTTTCTGGTAAGCGGTTTTGGGTAAAAAGGAAAAAGTTTGGGGAGCAGTGGGCTATACAGTCAGACAGTAAGAAACACTTGTATGTAATAACCTACCTTATCTGTTGATACAGCTGCAGGTCTGCTACCAAGCGCGCTGGGTGATCATCCAGGAATCTTTTTAAAGGGCGTCCTTTGTTTCTTTTTCCTATTGGTTCATGTTTCAACATTTGATGTGGCAATATGAGTCTCGATTTATGTATTCTGTTATGATGTGTCACTGCATAATTACGCACACTTATTCACATTGTAAAAACACACAAACACCACCACACAATCTCGGCAATCAGACAGACGAGAGCTTCACAAGCATAAATAGCGACCTACCACGTCGGCTAGCAATTACAAACACACGCCGCCCAACCAACCACGAAGCTAACTAAGGGCGGAGTTCTACGCATGCGCAAGACATCGTCCCTCGCTACGAATCGCTTGTCTCCCGTGCCGGGGACAAGCATTGCCTGCGTCGCCAACACTCCGACTGCACATTCACCGAAATCGAGCCCAAACAGAATTATTTCTTGGAAGAACGCAAATAATGCCGTCGACAGAGAGACTTTGAAAGAGTCCCAGAATCTCACATGATTTTATTCCGTCTAGCTTCATACTATAATATCTAAACTGAAACTTCCAGCCATCTAAAAATTCGAATTATAATTTGTATTTCCATCTGCGACAACTTCACATTTGATTCTTTATTAGATGTACGCGCTTCGGTAAATTAGGCCATCTTCAGTACGTTTTCATCAATGCGATTCACCAGGTTCACTCAACGTTGAATTAACTAAAATTACAGTCAATATTCATTAGCTTTCTGCTACAGCGTATGCCCGTTACAAACTATTCTTGTGATTACTTGCATTAGTTGTATCATATTAACGGCATTAAAGTGTAAAATGTTGCATGTTACTACTTCTGTTTATTGTCGTGTTGTCTCGATGATCCACCCGACGGAGGAGTGAACATTTAAGTTTGTGGTCACCATCACAACTGCAACAACTGAATATAGCGGAGTATTGTCAGGTTGGTATCACCGAACTAGCTCGCAGCCCGCTCGATGTCACGGGCTACGGATCGAAGAGATACTCAAACCAAATCTGTTCTTTCATTCTCACGCGCATCTCCAGGGCAATCGTCAGTACATGATTTTCATGCACAAAATATTAGTGAGAGTACGTACAATAAACTGTTACTAAATAATAATTCATGCAAGACTAATAAGCTTAAAAAAATCTTGTTCGTGTAGGAAAACGCCCGCGTGGGGTTTGCTAGATCCTCCCCAGGTGGCGGGCCGAGGAAATTAAATAAATCCTCGGGGCGGACCAAGAACTAGCACTGGCGGAGGGCCTCAGTCCCTCCAGGAAAATTCACATTCGGCCTTAACTTTCAATTAATTATTCATTTAACAACGTCGTTCCGTGCTGTCTAGCAGCCTGAGCTACCGACAGCTTTCTTAAATAGACAAGTAAGTAAAAATAGTTTCGCGGCATTACAAGGTCGCCGCCATCACAGATTGCACGACAACGGCGAAATGGGTTGATTTCTGTGTCTCGGTCCTTTGCAGAATCCGGCATTTTTTATCGAATGAGAACAAGTGCGGATCGTGTGGTCTAGGATCGCGGTAGTAATTATAAGAGAATGAAAACTAAGGAACTCAATCCGTGTCGTATATAAATTTGTAAACTAGCGCCTGCTTTTTAGAGAGATGGCTCAGTCGTAACCAAATTCCTACGGCGATAATGTGAAGGATAAAGAATATATAATTTTTTCTCCACACTTTGCTACTGACGCAATGCAAATTCTGATTCTGATACGGCCTATGAATTCCGAGATTAATTTAGCGACAACCCGGCCGAATTAATAACATGGTTACCTGTCTGCCAGGTTGCAGGAACTCTCCGATTCTTCCTGTAAATAGGCTTAAACCACGATTTCCGCTTCTCCACGCAATCATTTAAGCTCACAGAATAAGTGTTTACAGAATCAAAACGACAGACATCGGCGAATTTGTTGACAAGTGGAGAGGTCCAGAGGTTATCTCAGGACACAGTTTTATGAGAGGTTATCTCATGGCTCAGTTTTATCCGCGCCGGCAAACAGACAGACGACACGAGTGCAGTGTTTATGACTCAAACTTTAATACACACCGACTTCATTCCCGCGTTATGGGGGAAATACCAAGACGAGGGGAGGGAACACTTATAAAAAAACTATAAAAATTTGCTAATCACCGCGGGATTCTGGCTTGCTCTTGGCTGTTCCTGCCTCTCGATTTTCAATTAGTGAATTTTCCTCTTACAAGCAGAGGTAAGTTGTAAGATTTGAGGTTTTTCGCGGAGGTGAGTCTGAAGATGGCTGTCTTCTGGGTTGTTGCGCCGTGTAGTGATGAATTCATCGCCCTGATGATGGAGGCAGTATGACCTCTGAAACGTTGGTAATCATCGACCAGACTACACAGCGCAACAACCCAGAAGACAGAAATGTAACTCCGTATGCGTGCTACTTGTCTCGCCCATTGCATCCTGCGTGATTTAATCTTCCGAAGAACGTGATAAGAAGAGACTGAACCAGAGCAGCTTCTTATTTCTCTTCCAAGGGTACCTAAAGTCTGTAATCACTTAAGACACAGCCGCGAGTATGAAGTCTTCAGGGATGTTGCGAAGAGTCGCCCTCACAGCCCTGATGATGGAGGCAGCAAGGACCTCGGAAACGTCGGTAAACATCTACGAGATTACAACGCGCTACAACCCAGAAGACAGCCGCCTTCACCCTCAATTTATGATTTTTCGTCAGAACGAAACCAAGGTTCACACCCATACAAAACAACGGCGTACATTACAACACAAATTTTCAAAATTCCCGTTACTCAAATGTTTCACCGTTATCGTGTACCCCTCACACCGGCACCCTCTTCATTTTAGTCACAACACAAACACTTGTTGTCTGAAGGACGCCTTTGCTCGGAGGTTTAAGCAGAGGATTGGGATTTTAAAGTCCGGAGTCGAGCAACAATTAATACGGGTTCATGTGACGCAGAAAGATTTCTGAACATGGCCACTAAATAGATCATTAATGAAACACAAAGAAAGCTTTTATGTAACATTTCTCTTGTTCTCGCATTGCCGAGATTCTTTGTGTTCCGAAACTTTATTTTCTGTGACGACAAAATCAGATTGCTAGTGTTCCTGTCCTATTTGAGTGATTAACCACGCGATGATGATCTGTGGGCATTGGAGCTTGCTGTGCTGTACAGCTGACATCGGAAGGCACTCTCGTGAGGCCGAGTTGGTGAAGACCTTGGGATCGAAATATCATAGGGTTCCCCAAAATACACCTCTTTGCAATCAAACAGATACAGAAAGCATCTCCATCCCTCTGTTATTTGATATCTCACAAGCCTTTGTACTGGAACGCGATGTAAACTCTTCACTGGTTAGCAGTACCAGTTTGCTTCGTACTCGGTAGGTCCCGTGTTCGATTATCGGATGTATAGGCCTTCCACTCTGCTGTCAAAAATGACCCGGCAATCTGTGCTCGTAAGTCGACGACACGCGAAGCTGGTGACAGCAGAGAGTATTCACGTCACTTCGTGAAAGAATTTGCTGTACCGCGTTCATTTCATGAGCGTGTGACTCAGGGGGTTAGCAGCCGGACTTCACGCACGGGAAATAGGTTCCGGACCCTAATAAGTCCGGATAAGGAACACGAGTTGCGAGAATGTCAAGCAGACTGACAGATGACGCCACCTATGTACCGCATAGTGCCATTAACAAGTTTCACAGAGCTCTAATTGGACCAGCAAGTTCATCTCGTGTTAAAGTGCCTGGTACTCCAGGTCGCTCCACAACGAATGCAATGATGATCCACTGTGCAGCTCGTTTTCACAGACAAAACAGACACGAAGTAGCAAACAATAAATTTGCATGACGACAAAAACCTGAAAATCAAAATATATTAACAATACATAAAACTATCGATTTGATTCCTGTTACGTTGGAGTTTTGAAACATTAATTTGGAAAAAGTGACCTATTCTATTAGCTAGAATTCAGTTTCATTGGTACCACATAATTAGAAATAAATGCAGCTTAAATATCCTGTAGCAGAGTGGTACAGGCCAAGAACAATTCCCCGTTGAACCCGAGGGCCACGAAATTCCTCCAGGCACTACCGTGAGGACCAACAGCCACTTTCCATTTCCAGTACTCGACCAAAAATACGAATTTCCACAGCAAATACCTGGATATAAATTTTATCGAAACGCTCACAAATTACTCTCGAGTGACGCATATTTTAATTTGCTCCTGTAATGGCTTATATCCGAGGCCGTTCTTACTTGGGGTGCTTACATTTCACTACAAAGTACTAAAGTCAGGAGCACTTGTACTTGAAGCAGCAGACGAGACAAGAGTAATTTTAGTTTCATCCGTCGAATGCGCTTGTAAAATTCGCAACAAAGTAAATATTTTCGAGGACCTGCTTACAGGTGTCCCGGGCCGGTTGTGGCCAGCGGGCCGCCAATGTTATCACGCCGGCCAAAAGGCCCAGCGCTTACTGGATGAAGAATTCTAGAAAAGCGTTCATCAACACGTCACGTGTTACTCGTTGGTGACGGACGACCTGGGGCATGGGCCCAAACACCTCGCCGCTCCAGTGGAACCAGCATCCCACGACGCGCCACAAGATCACGGGCTCCTCGTTCTTCCGAAGAGGAGGCACTCCAACACACTCACTGTCGCGAGCTGGCAGGTAGTACACCTCCCCCAGTTCGGTCAGGTTCGACGAGATGCTGGGACGCCGACGTACCCAAACTGACAAGAACTTCTTGTACGGAAGAAAAATCTAACCTGAGCCAATTCAATCCAAGATCTAATTTAATATCAGAGTTATTAATTAGCCAATCTCTTTTCCACTCTACATAAGAATCAGGCTTCGGGAGATTACCCTACCAAAATCCTGTGCGTATTTCTTATTCCCCATCAGTCAACTTTCTTGATGTAAGATAGTGTAATTGCGTCATATTGTGAATATTATAACAATTATTTATTTTAATCCGTCTTATCACAATATTTAAAATTTCTTATAATTAAGATAATAAAATATTGACCCACACCTATTCGAAGACACTAGTACTTCTGGACATATCGGAACAATCACTCCTACATCTTTGACAATATGTACATCTAATAAAATTTAAGAAAAAACAACACCTACGCCAAAAATGGAAAAACAAACGTAATGAAAACATCACCAAATGGAATCATATTTGAGTTTTAAGTTATTAGATATTTTACACCTGATGATGGTTTTATAAAAACTGAAACATGTTGTGTAAATGTTCCAAAATGTGAATCGATCAATCGATATGGAACATCAATGATATTTTATTATCTTAATTATAAGAAATTTTAAATATTGTGATAAGACGGATTAAAATAAATAATTGTTATTTCTTGATGTAACTATCTTAAAAGATCTGATGATAATTATTACGCTGGGCATCTTTCAATGTCTGAGGTGTATTTGACAAGCGCGACGTTTTTCCAGAAATGGGAGTAAACGTCGTATGCAACGGGCAATGCCGAACACGATTTTGATAAATTAAACCAGCCACTTCCACCTTCAGAGCAGAGGCTCCCAAAGTCTCAAGACCAGGGTGGGGTCACATTATCAACTCGCGAAATTCTTAATCGAAATTTCATGGCACTTTTTTGAAAACGCCACCAACTTACTATCGCAAAGACGCCGGACACCTTGCACGGGGTCACATGGCATTTGAGAGCTTATACCATTTTCCGTGTCAGTGAACGGAAAGGCGGACAAAGTTGTCTGCATAGCAGCAGCTCCCAACTCGACCTCTGCAACAAGGAAACGACTGTGACAGAGAGAGGCTGGGGCACAGTTGCAAGCTGGTCCCTTTCCATTACGGGAGTGGAAACATTTTCCCGCCTTTATTAAGAACGTAATGGACGAAATTTACGAGATGTTGTTTGTTGGGTAAAACAGAAGAGATCAGATGCGCAATTCTACATTCGTATTTCTTCATAGAGCGACTTCCGGCTTTTCACGTAGCAATGACAGTGGCACGTGACGCTGCCTAAACATGGCCTCACAGAAGACACTTCCGGCACAATAGCTCACGTACCAGAAGTACCCTCTCTCTCTCTCTCGTATGACAATTTCCCCGGAACTTCAACTTCTTCACTAATTCCTCAGCTAAATCTGCAGAAAATTACAAAGGAATTCGCGAAACAAAAGAATAAATTTCAGTGTAACCAGAAAAATGCTTCACTTGCAAGTTTGTTACTTCGAGGAAACAAAAGTTCGCAAGAAACATAACTTCGCAGACACAATTCATTTGCCACATCTGCAAGACTCAATTTATTGAAGACAGAGCTTTCATTTTCGAAAGAGGCGTTTCAAATCATAAAAAATTCAACATGCAACATCCACGTAGGTCAGGACAATTCACATTCAGAAACCAGAATTCCCGACCTGTTGGGTTCTTGCGCCTTGCAGCATTTTGGCTGTAAGCCTACGATTTGGCATTCATTTTGGTATTGGAGGGCATACAAATCCAGAAGACAACTTCTCTACTCATTTCGCCGAGAAAATCGGAAATGTTTCTTTTTTCCTCGTACCATTAAATGTAATCTGACGCCGTACAAGTCTCACAACCTGCCAAAATATGCGTGAAGGTGCCAAACCTCGATTTTATCTATTTTGTATGGGTGTAAAACTTGGGCTCCAGCGTTAAGATTATTCCTCATGAATGCAATTTGGTTTCATTAGCATCGATCCAAAATATCCGACATTTTGAAGGCCTTTGTCTCAAGAAAGACTG